TTGGAGGCAGCACAACAGAATCCCGATCCACAGAAGAGTGTCTCTTTTCCCAGGATGTCCATAAATGTACTAGAAGCAGGCCACAACCCTAGGGAAACTCCCTTTCAATGGATTGGCTGCTTAAAACATATACATCTGATCCCATCATGGGAACAACCCACATCACAATTGCTTAAACCACACAGAATTGTGGTCCAGCCAAGTTGACACACAGCTCCAACTATCACACAGCTCTTCCTCAGTCACATTTTGAGTGTCTTCCAACCTGAGCAGCTCATCTTCTGGCACTATATCAGACAGTGTTTCTTTGCTATTCATAAAGTTTTCAGTGGCCAATTTCTTCAGAAGTGGATGGCCCTGTATTTCTTCAGTCTGTCTTAGACTGGAAGCTCCACTGAAATCTGTCTACCATGGGGGAGCCTGCTGGTATTTGAAATACCAGTGGCATAGCTTTCAGCTTCACAGCAACATGCAAGCCACCACAGTATGACAAACTGACAGACAAGTGGTGGTGATAAACACATGCTGGGTCACAATTATTTTAGAATATCTCATACAAAGGATGGCTGGAATGCTTTACACATAACTTAAAATTAAAGAGTTCAGTTGTCTCAGTAAAAATTTAAAAAACCAACCCTCAAATGTCACAAGTTAAAGAATGGAGGAACACAGAGATCAACTGATCAACTCAAGGTCATACAGATGAGATCATACAAGGTCATACAAGTAGAGCTACTTGGCAAGTTCCAAAAACCTGAAGTTAGGGAAAATTTCCTTAGAAAAAGTACCTTGCTACGGAATTATAAAGCGGTTGCATGATTCTGCTGCCAAAACAGGGACCCTCAGCCATGAGGTTGGATTTGTTGGTAGTTTGAGGTTCTACTCAGGAGAATTCCAAGATGATTCATGCTTCATGATCTATCCTCTGATTTCCCACAATTTCCAGTGGATAGTTCACCATAAAGCCTCCATTCTCTTAATCCTAAGGATTTAGAGAAACCAAGACCATTTCCTCCTTACAGAAAGGTCAGAAACCCCTGATCTGAAGTGGGGTTTGTTTTAAAATAAATCTTTGAAATATAGAATGATATAAATAATATTAAACCCAGCTTCCTGCCATCTAGAATTAATGACGGTTAACACTTTCTTTCAAAATATCTGTGGTGTGATTAATCACTTTTATATGACCTTTTTTTTGCCATGGTCTGGTAACTCCCACCAAATGATTGGGGGAGGGATTCTGCAAATAAGGTACTTGTGGCCCACCAAGGGGATTGGACAGCTTGCTAATAATGCATATAAAGTGCATGGCACCCTTATGGGGTGGGGTAATGCAAAAAAAAGGTGCATGGAACCCTAATGAAGGGATTTGTCAGTTTTGCCATCCCACAGGCTTAAAATGAGCCATCCCAGAGGTGGAAAGGGGGGACCTCATTACCACCAAGAAGAAGAGACAGCATAATATATCCTTTGAACCCAGGGTCCCTGTGCTAATAACCTGCTAGATTCAGGAAGCAGAGAGAGCAAACAAGCTATAATACCAGAGATGGGGCAAGACAATGAAAAGCAGTGGCAGAGAAATAGCAAACAGCTGAACCAGAAGACTGACGTGAAATGGTGCAGTGGGTTTTCCCACCCTTGAAGCAAGGTGACTATAGTAAGTGTGCCAACCCACAGAGTGAGAGAGCTGAGAATCTTCAGGCAGGAGGCCTCCTATTGGACAGCGGTGATTAACCCCCAGGCATTTACTTAGGGGCTAAAGAGCTTTGTAGCACTTGGCGGAGCAGGGCAGAGGCTTGCTGGGCCCAAGAAGCCTGAGGCTGAGGTGCTAGGAGGCCGAGGGCCAAAGAGAGCCCTGCCTACAGGCATTGCTGAGAAGAGGCTGTCCTGTCCTGATCTCCTTCTGAGTCATTCCTGATCCTGAATTGTAACCTATTACTTCCTTGATAAACCCGATAATTGAGTATGGTCTGTAAATTGGCCATTGCAACAGATTATCCAAACCAGCAGAGAAGCAGTGGTGTGGGACAGCTGGTGTCCGAATTGATAAAAAGGTTGGAGAGAGGAGGTGTATCTGCCCTCTCTATCAATCAGCCTTGTGCTTTTTATCTTGATTGTCTTTCCCCCTTGTGAAGTTAGAGGAGATCAGACACCCCCACCATTTTCTAGTATCTGAGAACACTTTTTTCCTCTAGAATGCCTCAGGCATAAGAAATAGGCTGAATCTACCATCTTGTTTGATTGGCTAGATTCCTCACCCCTATATTAGAATATTGAAATAGGACAGGAAAAAGAAATGATTCTCATCCTGTTTTTTTTTTTTTTTAAATGGTTCTTATGTGGACTGTGTAATGAGTTATGAAAAAATGCCTATCGTGTTCTAAATTATATTTGCAATTGTAACTACATAGGAAGGTATTATCAGTTTACGTAAGCTTTCTTTTCTCCACTTCCTCTTAAAACAGGGAATAACCTGGGGATTTTTTTTTTTTTTTAATGTCTGGCAGAAAACATCTTGTTTTATAATAAATCAGAGAGGAACAGTTTACAGATTTCTAATGACAGAGATTTAAGGGAGTCACTTAACTTTGGAAAGTAAGTTCAAAATTTTAAACTTTTCATCTGTTAAGTTCCAGAAACGTGTTTGCTGAGGAGTTAGGAAGCCTGAATTCTAGAATCAGTGCTGACATTAACACAGCGTGCTTCTGGTCCATCATTTACCTTTTTGCGCCAAAGAGCTAATAACATTCTATGTTTTGGGGTAACTGATTCCATTATCTCTATCTTCACAGTCTTATATATGTTTGTAGATTTACCTTTTGGTACATTGTTGACCAAATTGTGACTTCCTCCCTTGCATCTAAAAGTATGAGGAAGTGACAGACATGAGCTCTGCTTCATGCTTCAAACATGCTGCCTGGATTCCATGCATTAACCAGGCACCCATATCTGGACCAGCTCTGCCCCTAAGAGGGTCTAAGTTTCACCTCACAGTTTCACCATCATGAATCCTGCTGTATTTTGGCTTGAAATGTGTACTTTCCTGGTTGGTGATTTGGTGGTAAGAGTCATGCTTTTCATTTACTTAACAATCATATTGTAAATGCTGACTTTTGTCTAAGGCACTGCTTTTCATTTAAAGAATATCCTAGAAGATAAATTACTTTAGTAAGCTGAATTGCTAGAACTCTAAGGTGGCTAATAGCTCAACAACATATCCCACTCACAAAATAAAAATCTCTAAAGCCATCACTTCTACCTGGTGCTAATATAATGGGATGGAGTCATTGAGGTAAATTGGCTTCAATCTCCACAGAGCCTTTGGGGCAACATTCTGAATTCTTTTGATATTTTAGGGCTGGGAGTGAGGAAGTGGGTCACCTTGGGTCAAAGTCAGTATTCTGGACATCAACATTAGCCAAGTTGCTTCTTTCTGGGTCTGTAAAGCAAGAGAAATATTCTTCTTCAACAGGTACTGGCACTGTCAGACAGCAGCCTCAGGGAGGGGAATGCAACACCAGTGCTAGTCAATGTTCAGAGAAGTGCTACTGAACTGTTCCAAGAACCTGGAAAAATTACTGTTTTCTTATGTGGGAACAGTGACAGACCAATCCCAAAGGTAGTGAGGAAGCTTCAATGCACCTGCAATAGTAGGTGCTCAACAAACATATACATTATTCAAATAGGAAAATGAAACACAGTATCAATTTTTGAAAAATATTTATTAAAAAACTAAAGTGAATATGGCAAAACAAAACAAAACAAAACAAACCCAAACACCCAAACACCCAAACCAAACCAAACCTTTAAATAGCAAGCATATGACATTGGTTATAAAGCCTTTTCCAACTCTACTGATCTAGTCTTTCACATCATCTACAGTCAAGGAGGCTTCCAATGGAAGCCACATGTAAACAAGTCATCTATGCTAGTGGTGAGCAAAAACTAATTACATGGAACTACCATTGGCCATACGACTCATTTTCCTAGGCAATCCACCTAAAACACAAGAAAGTGACCAAATCTCAGGGTGTGTTCATGTGGACATATAATTTTAATTTTGTGGCAGGGGGTAGGTAAAACAGTAGAAAGACAAACAGAATCAGTAGAGGGCAATCTTAAAGCACCTTTAACATCTGGACCCTTCTCCACATTTTAACCCAGTAATTCTCAAACTTTACCTTGGAAATGGATCACCTGATGAGCCTATAAATTCACAGGTGCCCTAAATCTGCTTAAAACAACTGAGCACTCCAGATGATGCTATGCACATTGGTCAGTATCCAGTTTGAGAAACACCGTTTTAAATGCATTAAAATAATTCCTAACCCCTCAAAATCAAGATAAAAGTAAAGGAATTTGCTGACAGACACTGTGCTTTTGTCAACGCTGAAGGACCAACATAGGAAGATCAGTAAGGAAGAGTCTCAAATTTCTACCACACTAGTCTACAGGAGTCCTGAGCTCAGGAAGTAAATAAAATTTAGTATTAAAATTTATTTTAGATCACAGAACAGCCTCCAAACCCCATTTATCCCCATTAATGAAATTTGTTGTATTGATGCCAATTAAGGGGTGTGTATGTGTGTGTGCTCTGGTAGCATAGTGGCTAAGACACTTGCCTGCTAACCAGACGACTGGCGGTTCAAACCCACCAGCCACTCCTCGGAAGGAAGGTTGGGCAATCCTACTTCCGTAGTGATACTGCCTCGGAAACCCAAGGAGGGGTCGCTATGAGTCAGGTATGACTCGACGGCACATAACAACAACAACGTGTGTGTGCATGTAAGAGTCATAATGACCCTATAAGACAGAGTAGAACTGCCCCTTAGGGTTTCAAAAGCTGTGAATCTTTACAGAAGCAGTCTGCCTCATCTTTCTTCCACAGAGCAGCTGGTGAGTTCGAACTACTGACCTTGTGGGTAGCACCCAGGTGCTTAACCACAGTGCCACTATAGTTGGAAGTGACTCTACAGCAATGGGTTTGTGTATATGTATTAGAGAAGCTGCTGTTTCAACAAAACATGGGGGCAACTGTGGATCCTGACTTGTGAAGACATACTGAATAAAACATCTATAAAAACCTTTATTAAACATAGAGCACTATGCCCAAATAATTTCAATAGTTCATGGACTCTACACGGTACATCATGGACAACATGTAGAAATAGTCACATTTATCCCAAGGTTCCCATTATCTGCAAAAAGATGTGCTATGGCTGTGTCAAAAACAAGGCAGTCACTGTTCATGATGGCCGCAGCCACGCCATCATGAATGGACCGGGGTGTGGCCTCCCAGGTCAGTCTCCGCCGGTTCCCGTTCAACTCCAGTCTGTAGGCAAAGTTCTCGGCCTGCTTGCGGGTGCCGATGAGCAAGACGATGGCAAAGAACTGCTGGTGCCCCTCGTACTTCTCTTGTTTCTCCAGCACCAGCATAAAGTGGTGGCCAAAACACGACTGCATCATCACCCAGTCGACTGCCCCCGGCAGGTTAATGTCTGTAGCTAGAAAGACAATGTCTTCTCCCTGAAGCGTGGTGATGCTCTTGTGGGCATGCATGAGGTGGGACATCACGGCTTCCAGGGAGCCCTGCCACTTGCAGGATGCCCCAGGACAAGGGCAGGAGTAGGGACGGTATTCACAGATGTCTTCGTGTTCTGGCTTCTCTGTGTGGTGCAGAGTCAGGGAACAGCCAGTGGTGGCATACTGTAAAGATGGAAAGAAATACATTGGGTCTTCTCAAAACTTCTATTGGTACATATCTGTAAGAGCATTTACCCCCTCGGGTTTCCTGTATTCTTATTTCAGTGACTTTTGCTTAAGTGAGTTAAGTAAGTAGTTAACACTAAAATATTGTCATACGTAAAATCAGGGAATATCCTGAACCACTGGCCAGGAATGAACTGTTCTTCATGCTCCTCATTCCAACATTGTTAAAAACATGACAATTAAAGACTTCTTACTATAATCTCCTTAAACAACAAAAAACTGTCAAGTCATCCCTGTATATCCTGGCCTTCCTTTCATTTTTTGTAAACCTGCTTTTTAAAAAAAATTCAGATTGCTTGGGGGGTGGGGTTGGGCAAAGGATATGTATTATTTCCAGACTAGTTTCCCCATTAACATAGTTTTGAACAATAGTATAGTCTCTTTGGTGCTTCCTTCCCCCTCCTGGCTCAAACTGCTAAGCTGCGACAAGCAGGGCTGACTTTTGGTGCTCCTGACTGAAGAACTGAAGAACCCTCACGCTACTGGAAATATTACCTTGTCTGCTTGCGCTTTGAATCTTCTCCTGGGGGCACTGGACATACATTTTTGGTGAAAAGAAATCATATTCAAGAGCTAAGTAACTAACTCTGAAGACTGCTTGTAATTTGGTTCCAACCACACACAGATTCCCAGTCTAATCAGACTTGTTGTTTGCCATTGAGTCGGACCAGACAGTGGAAGTTAAAACCAGAAGGGCCTAAGCCTCTCAAAAGCCCACTGAACTGTCTCCAGACAACTAACTTCTTCAAGTGCACGTCTCTTCCTGATCAGGTATGCCAGGCCCAAGGAATGGGAACTACCTACAATGGGCCCTGGATGAGTTTTCTGAGATTGTCAGTCTGCCCCCCAAACACTGCCTTAATAAGGGAAGAACAAAACCTATTTTTCCCTTGCACCAGGGATAACATTCCTGATATATAAATCATACCATAGGAAAAGATCACACTGAAAGGAATCAAATGTCTGCTCCCAAGAATGACAATGCTAATTCCTAGACACCAGATACAGCATCAGCCCACAAGCAGACACTTGCCCAGACTTCTCTACCACTGTCTTATAAAGAATTAAGAAACCTGAATCACCTTTTTGGGTGAAACTAGGTATCAACCTTCTATCCCTCGAGCACAAAGTGGCAAGTAAACAGTCTAGTGTATCTTGGATTCCCTGCCTTCCCATTAAGACAAAGAGCCACAAAATAAGGGCAAGGCCAGGTCATTTTTCTAACACACTATGTCCAATTGCTTTTGAACTGTTGTTTTTGCTTTTCCCTACCCTGCTTTAGGGAACAAATCCCTTATAAACCTTAAATAGGCCAAATTCTAATCTTTACAGATGAATTAATTAATCACTAGCAACAAGCCAGTACTGAGTACCTTCTCCACACAAATGCTAAGCTTGGTCACTGAAAGGATCGGAAACAAAGATGACAGCTGCCATTTTTAGGGAGATCAGTCACCTCTAAGCAGGAAGATAAAGGATGGTTTAAAGAAAGAAATGCAGCTTGCTCCTCCTTTGCTTCTCACTTACCTAAAGTGGATTTTAATCTTTAACAAAAATTGGCAGAACTATTTCAATATATTTACTTTGCCCATAAACTAAACTCACTGCCATTGAGTGAGATCTGACTCACAGCGACCCCTCCTTGGGTTTCCGAGGCAGTATCACTACAGAAGTAGATTGCCCAACCTTCCTTCTGAGGAGTGGCTGGTGGGTTTGAACTGCCAGCCTTCTGGTTAGCAGTCAAATGCCTTAGGCACTATGCCATCAGAGCTCCTACTTTGTCCACAGGAATTGCTTATTCATCTTTTTTAACCATGGACTAATTTTGAAAGCCATGTATGGAAAAAAAAAAAAGTTAATCAGAGGGAAAAACAAACTTATCCATATATGTTTACACGTCAAGTTCCTAATTCTGTAAAGTCCTAAAAGACAAATCCCTATCAACTGTGTTTTTAATCTAGGGTGCAGCAAGGAATGGGTGAGGCATTTCTCTCCAGAGTTTAAACACACACAAACACACAGTAAAAATAGCAAGCATTAGCTCTGAACTTGGCAGATTCTCTGGCTGACACAGGCCCTCGTTATTTGGGTTAAGAAGATGTTTCAGAATGAGCTGTTTACCACAGCTGCCCAGGAATAAGCGCAGGAACTACATGAACTTTGGCAAATGGTGTACAGAAAAGTACCATCTGTCTCTCTTCCCCCACTTAAAGGCCCAAACCACCCCATGCTCACAAACTCAAAATTTGCAACAAATATTTATCATCTTGCAACCATTTTAGAACTTTTTCTTGGGTAACTCAAGTAGGAATATTTATAATCTGAATTATTTGGTTTATCTTACTAATCACACATTCAACTCTTCCTTCAACCCAAATATAGAGAACAGGGAACCTTTCCAAACTACACAAACAGAAAAGGCATTACTTTGCATCTGTATGGACAATGGCCTTATGAAAAAAGATACTGTTAAAGCCTGAGGTGCTTACTCTGCTTTTTCTAAACAAGCTGAACTTTAATGCCCATCTATTCCTTCTGTTTTCATCTTGAGTGAGGGCGTGTCTACATGACCACTGATGCCACTTTTAGGATGAGTGGATTATAGATGATCTCTAAAAAGGAAACATCTAAACTTTTAACTAGGGCTTCAAACTAGTTATTTCCGGTTCAACCCCCCGCTGAGAATTTGCATTTCTACCCCAGATATACTGATGCAGAATCTACATTTTCTCAAGATCCCCAGGTGATTCTTATGTCTTCATACCTCTGACAGTCTCGGCATTGTTCTGGAGTGACACCCCAGAGCACAAGGGCCATTGTCACGGCCTAAATCAGGAGAGCCCATCCAGGGATCAGAGTGAGGGCTTGGGGGTGGGAGGAGTGTGTGATATTCCTGAAATGGTCTGTAAAACTATCTGTTTCTGAGCAGCAAGCTCAAATCTCACTGGCTCCTGGGCTTGCGTCTCGTTGGAAAGCTGCAACTATGAAAAATTCAAATACAACAAAAATACAGATGGTAAGGAGGACCAAGAGGGAGAAAGGTGTTGTCAAGCTGGAAAGAGTGTGAGAAGAAAGTTAAGGAAAGCTTATTGTAGAAGTGGATTGTGGAAGGGGTAGTCCTGTCTGGTTCTAACACAAAGCTAGCCAGCCAACCAACCAACCAAAAACAAAACAGTGCTGTTGAGTGGATGGTTACCCCAGTGTCACAGCAGAAGCCCACAGGGTTTTCAAGGCTGTGATCTTTCAGAACTAGGCCTCCCAGCCTTTCTTCTGAAGTGCCTCTGGGTAAGTTCGAACTTAAACCTTTTGGTTAGCAATCAAGTGTTTAACTAATTGCACCACCCAGGGACTCCCATGGAGGGAACAACTGTGGATAAAATTTAAAGGAGAAGGCAGCTACACATTCTGTCAGGGGCTTAACTGACAATTCTTCTTATTTTCAAGGTTTCTCAAGCTTGGAACATTTTCAACCATATAATTCTTTGTTACGGAAGTCCATGCCGTGCATTGTAGGGTGTTTAGCAGCATCCAGGTCCCTACCCACCAGATGTCAACAGCAGTCCCCCTACCACCCCTCCCAGTTGTGATAACCAAAAATGCCTCTGGAGATGGTCAAATGCTCCTTGGGGGGTAAAATTGCTCCTGTTTGAGAACCAGTGACTTAGACAAAGGACAAAACATGGTTTCTGGGCAGCTGCAAAAACAGCTGCAAAGAGGGGCCCATCAACAAGCAGGTCAGGTTACTCTGCCCCATCCAATGCCCCATCCTACCCAGGGCAACTCAGGAATGCCAGACACACAACTAGAACTGGATGGCTTGCAAAGCACAGCATTAGACTAGAAAGCTGGTTCTAGCCGTTTTACAGACCAGGAACTGGTGGCTCCTCAGCGGCCGCGCCAGGAGCACAGCCCTGCCTTTCCACGCTGCTCCACTGGTGCTCTTCTGGCTGCAAACAGCATCTCCAGAGTCAACCAAAGAATCGAGAAACAGAAATAATTTACATCTACCTTCACCACTCCCTTCCCCTCAACCTAACAAATACAAACAAAAAACCGAGGCCACTGCTTTTGGAAGCAGGTTCTAATCTTAACTTTTTCCTTGGTTTGCAAGGAGAAAAACAGTCTTGAAAGCTCCTCTCCCTAAGGAATGGGGCACCATCACCTCACCAATAAGTAACCCAGTAATTAAGGCCCTCCCAGCTCTCTCTGGCTGGCATCTTTGCAAAAAAATTCTGAAGTTTTAATTTTCACATTCTGGCTAGGGCTTTCCCCACCAAATAGATACAGCAAGGGTTCAAAGGATGCCTGCGTTTGGAATGAGAAGGGGCTTTACTTCAAACGACCAGTTCTTAGCTGTATGTGCTTGTTCCTGAGAGAAAGCACCTGGCTTGTTCACAAAGGGCTGTGTTGTGGGACACATCCACAGCTATAAAAGAGATTCTCCTCAGGGAAATATCTGCTCATTCCCCCTGAGCAGAATGTGTTTTAAGTAAACCGCTCAGGAGAGGGGGGAAAAAATCCCAGAAGCCCAAAGCTAAAGGGAAATAATGGGGAGGGGAAAGATGGACTAACAGAATGAGAAACAAAGAAATGTTGAAATAACATTTGTGACTTCTCTTTAGAAACATTTCATCTTACAATGGCTCAAAAGTCTTGTGCAAATGTTCTCTGCCATGAAAGGCATTATTGTGACCTGGTGCCTCATATTTAGGTCTTTCAAAAACAGGTCATTAGGGCCAATTCTTCTCCTTGGCATGGGTTTTGAAGGTTGTATTTAAATTGGAATTTTTTGGGGAGGGGGTTCCTTTTCTGTTAAGAAACCCCTTCAAGCACACATGCACACAAGATATGGCAGAGACATACTTAAAGATTCCCAAACCAAAAAACTCACTGCCATTGAGTCAATTCTGACTCACAGCGACCCCTACTGGGTTTCC